ATGCACCAGTAGAGGCTGGGGCGTGACTGGCTGGGCAGTGGCTCTGCAGAAAAGGACCTGGGGGTTACAGTGGACAATAAGCTGCATATGTCCCAACAGTGTACTGTTGTTGCCAAGAAGGCTAATGGTATACTGGGCTGCATTGGTAGGTATGTTGCCAGTAGGTCAAGGGAAGTGATTATTCCCCTTTATTCAGTGCTGGCAAAGCTTCATCTGGAGTACTGTGTTCAGTTCTGGGCCCCCACTACAGAAAGGATGTGGACAAATTGGAGACAGTCCAGTGGAGGTCAACAAAAATGGTTCAGGGGCTGGGGCACATGACTTCTGAGGAGAGGCTGAGGGAACTGGGCTTATTTAGTCTAGAGAAGAGAAGACAGGGGGTTTAATAGCAACCTTCAACGACCTGAAGTGGGGTTCGAAAGAGGATGGAGCTAGACTGTTCTCAGTGGTGGCAGATGGTATAACAAGGAGCAATGATCTCAAGTTGCAGCAAGGGAAGTTTAAGTTAGATATAGGGAAGAATTTTCTCACTAGGAGGGTAGTAAAACACTGGGACAGGTTACCCAGAGAGGTGGTGGAATCTTCATCCTTGGAGGTTTTCAAGATCCAGCTAGATGAAGCTGTGGCTGGGATGATCTAGTTGGTGATGGTCCTGCTTTGAGTAGGGGGTTGGATTCAATGGCCTTCCGAGGTGTCTTCCAACTCTAATTTTCTATGATTCTGTGTTTGAGTGGCACTAGGAGAAGATTCAGACTGAAGCTCCTAGGCAGAATGGCATGCTGGGGAGGAGGTGCATGTGGGACACTTGCCTTTCCTTTGGCTACAGTTCTCTCTCCACCCACAAAACAGAGAACCATGTGAAGGGTCTCCTGCATTGCCTTGCCCCTTGTGCCTCAACTTGAATGGCAGAGCCTCCTGCCCATGGATGAGGGGGTAGGGACTTTAGCTCATTCTGTTCTGTGGAGGGGGCTGGCTGGTGCCAAATGCAATAGGAGATGGTACTTGGAAATTTGTCTACTTGCACCTGGCAGAGGTCAGGCATCTCCTGCGACTGCAGGTAGCCCACCAGGTAACCCTCTGCCATAAATGGTTGCCTTCCTGGGCAGAGACTGGCCTGCCTGCAGCAAGTTGAGTGTATTGAGCATGCTGGGGGTGTTACCAGTGGCTGCTGTGAGTGGGCTGCGTGGAGTGTGTCCACGTTATCTAGCCCAATTCACAGAGAGGGAGAAGCAGACCTGAGGCACATCTGGAACGAGCTGAGGCTCCCACTGGGAAGGACACTTGCTCTTCACCAGTATGCCAAGCTAAGCCAAGGGTGCATTTCCTCGTGTTGGGCAATCTCCTTCTGAGTCTCTGGCTGGAGCCTGGAGGGGGAGCACTTTTGGCTGTAGGGTCTGAGTTTCTGGTGCTGTTGTCTCAACTCTGCCATTGGTGTGGTTTGGCCTTGGGCAGGGTGGCTGCTGCCTTCCTTGGTGCCAGCTGCCCTTTGGTGCAAGGAGGCAGGCATCTAACAGGCTCTGTCCAGAGAGGCACAGGAAAAATCTGCCAGTTCTGTCCAGATTGTGGAGCTCAACAAACTGCCCTTTCCTGTTGACTTATCCTCTCTTTTTTGGGATTCTCCCCAGGCGGCGATTCTCCAGCAAACAGCTGAATACATTTTCTCACTGGAGCAGGAGAAGACTCGATTACTGCAGCAGAACACACAGCTCAAGAGGTTCATCCAGGTAATGCAGCTGCTCTTCCTTTGTCATTCCATTCCCAGTCCTGCTTCCACCCCCAACTCCCTGTCATCATGTGAAGTATTTGTTTCTGCCCTGGCTGCTTTTTGTTGCCTGCCCTTCCCTACCCCCACAGCATTGTTGGCCCAGTGGAACGGTGTTAGTTCTCCGGTTCACCTAGTGGTGCTGTACTCAGGCCTAGGCCAGGCAGGCCTCTTGCTTCTTCTGGGTCTCTTCTAGATCAGGGAAGGAAATGCTGACCTGGGGCTTCATCCCATCACAAGGATCTGAAGCAGGGAGCTGGGCAAAAGCCTCTTCCCTCCTTGGCTTCTCAGTCCCTATCTTCTTTTTTACAAGTCTGGCTGTCACCAGGCCTTGGTAGAACACTCCATGGCACCTCTAGGAGCATGGTGCCCCCTCGTGTCCGGCTGGGTGATATTGACGGATGCAACCCAGATGTCTGAGCTCTGCTGCTTCTGTCCTGCAGCAAAATTACTGTGGACTGTGAAATTCACAATGACCCGGCCCCCTCAAAGGCTGAGTTCCTTTTGGGGAGAGTGCTTGCTTGTGAATTTTCTTGGACTTATTGATTGGCACCTTTCTTCTGGAAAAAGAGACTGGGCCTTATCAAAACCTGCTCAGATGGGAAGTGAGGGTTCAAGCCAATCAGCTGGGTCTTTCTGGGTCTCCTCTCCCAGTACTGCTGCAGCGGCACCAACTTCCCTTGGACCTTCCTGCAGTTCCATACCCTTTGTGTTATGTGGCTGTGCACCATTTGGCTTCACTCCAGAGGTGGTTGCTTTTTTAGTGGGGCTACTCATAGCATGTGCTGGAGTCTCTGGAGTGGAGAGCTCTAGAGCACCGCAGGGTTTGATTGCTAACACATATTGCTATCACTGCGCTGTCTGGAGTTTGATGCCTCCAACTCTGATTGGCAGGAGTTCAGCGGCTCCTCCCCTAAGCGGCGGCGGGCAGAGGACAAGGATGAGGGCATCGGCTCGCCAGACATCTGGGAGGATGAGAAGGCAGAGGATCTGCGCCGAGAAATGATTGAGCTCCGGCAGCAGCTAGACAAGGAGCGCTCAGTCCGCATGATGTTGGAAGAGCAGGTGAGGCTAGGTTGGGGGATGCACTGAGGGAGTCATAGGGCTTCCATTTGGGCCCACTGTGTCCCTAGCCTTGATACGAGCAGGTGGACAAAGGAGAACTGTGCTGTCCTCTTGATGCAGCACGTTTCCAGTGTGGGATGGGGTGGCGCCTCTGTCAACCTCTGGTGTCTGGGCATCTGCAGCCTGAGCCTGGGAGACTGCAGGTACAGTGCAGGGGAAGGTGAGGGTTCCAGCATGCTCCCCGTCCTCACTAGCAGAGCCAACATTCAGGGGAGGTGGCTCTAAATGCTGAACACCCATTGGCTTTGGAGTAGGGTGTGGGGAATCTTCAGTCCTATGGCACCCCCTAGTGGATGATGGCAGATGGGCACAGGCCCAGGGTTAATTGCTGAGAGGTGCCTGGCATTTGCTAGGATTCCTCTGTCTTGGTCTCCATGAAAGCCCTGCAGCTCTGAAGCTGTTTGGGTGTCTGAGGACAGTGGTGCCAGGGCAGCATGCAGACCACACCCCCAGCTGGACACTATACTCTGTTTGGCGTGGTGTAAATGTTGCCCTGCTGATGGTGCCTCCCTGAAGCAGCTCCAGACTTGGTGTTTCTTTACAGCCCCCTTCACGGTCTCTAGTTTTCCCCTGCCCATTGTCTAGGCTGTGAAGTCTCTGCCTCAGTGCTGTGGCCTCGGTCTTGCCAGAGGCTCTTGTTCCTTGACGCACTCTTTCTTTGTATGTGTTGGAAGGCAAAAAAAGGCAGGTTCTTCAGGTCAGCTGTCTGTGGCAGGGTTGTGTTGTATTGGATGTCCATGTTGTTTGAGCTGTAGCTGTAGGCTGTAATGGATAGGCAGGGGATCAGCTGACAGTTCCTCCAGAAACTGAAACCTAGGGCACCTCACAGGCTTCTCAGGGGTACTCAGGGAGGTTTAGCATGGGCCAGCCCAGAGCCATTTAGAGGTAAAACCCTGAAATGCAAGCTTGAGTTAGCTAAGCACAGAACTCCTAGCAGGTCCTCCTGTGCTAGCCCTGAGCTGCTAGGTCCAGGGGTCTAGTAAAGCTCCCAGATCCAGTCCTGTTATTGCCAAACACTAGCTCCTTGATGCACTTAAGTCTGTAGGACCTGAAGCCTGGGTGCTGAGCTGTAGCTTACCTGATTAAGGTAGAACCTCTCTACAGTGAAGATGGAGACACTGGGACTCTCACTCTGAGGTCCCTGACTCCAGGCAGCTCATCGTCAAGGCCATGAGGTTTCTTCCCTTCTAGAATTCATGCACTCAAGGCCAAGGGGACACCTTTTCTGAGTGCCAGCATGTGCTTTACAATGGCACTCAAATGATCCTAGCTCTTCCAAGGTTTCCTTTCTTGTCTGCTTCCAGGCATTTTTCACGTATGTTATTGCAACTGCTTGGCTGAGAGCCGGTGGAGCCCTGGTTTACTCAGTGTTGCTCTCTGGACTGAGGCAAGCCTGAGGAATCCTATAACACTGGAAGCTTTTCCACTGTGAGGAGCAGCAAGTCTCTGACACTTCAGGCAAGGATTTCCTTCTTCCCTATTTCCTATGGAAGGTGTTCAAGATGGCTGACTTGGCTCAAAGCCAATCTGGCACTCTAAAAGGAGGATCACATTTAAGAGAAGAGGCAGTTACCTGGCTACAAGTCCTGTCTAATAGAGCCGTTGTGTCTACGTATGTAGTTTTAGATGAGCTGATAGTGGGTTAATGTGAAAATATGTACACAGACCCCACCCCTCCAAGTGGTAAATGAAAAATGTCATTTCCCTTCAAGATGTTCCTAGGTCTGTGTTTCTTCCACCTCTCCATGCAGTCATGGTGGTGAAGGTTGCTATTGAAAGCAAACCATGATCAAGCCGCTGTCCCCTTGCACAGTCTTTGATTTCTGCTTTGAGCAGACGAAAGTCCTCAGAGTTCACCCAACTTTTTGCTGTTGTTGCAACCAATTTACTGAGCAGTGCTGTTGCCATGAGCAGTATGTCTGAATAGTGTCCATTTGCATTTCCCAGTGCCATGAGCTGGCTGGCTTGCAACTGGAAGGCTGGCCAGGTTCAAATGATTTTATCACTGGTGTTCTGTAAAGTGTTGTCTTGGCCTCTTCTTCCTGTGTGCTGCCTGCTGCTTTGACTTGCTCTAAGGACAGGTAACATTTCAGCCTCTAGAGCTCTAGAACTTCTGTTCAAGGCTTCATGACCCCAAGAAAGAATCCCTGTTTCATTTCAAGACGTCCCTTACTTTAATTTTTTTTTATTAGTAGTATATTATTACTGATGATGATATTTATGTCTGAAATTGTCTTTCTAACTTACCTGTTCCCTTGGATGCAAAGGCTTTAAGGATACAATATGCTGAAGAGTCATAGAAGTTTGGGTTGGAAGAGACCTCAGTAGGTTATTGAGTCTGGCCCCCTGCCTTGGGCAGGAAAGAGTGCTGGGGTCAGACGACCCCAGCTAGGTGCTTGTCCAGTCTTTGCTTGAAGCCCCCCAAGGAAGGGGAGAGCACCACCTCCCTTGGAAGCCCATTCCAGATTCTGGCAACCCTTACTGTGACAAAGTTCTTTCTAATGTCCAACTTAAATCTGCTGTCTGTCAAGTGTTCATTTTCCTTTTCCCCCAAAGAGAGGGCAAGTGCCTTGCCTGTAGTCTGTTCTGCTACCTCTGTTCTTAGAGTATATTAACCCACTCAGGCACCTTGTATTCTGCTCATTTTGTAAGTATATTAGAGAGCACAAATCTCATGGAAGTGGCATTGCAGGAAAATAACTTCCCTCTCCCACCACTGGAGGAAAGCAGAAAGAGTTGTCTTCCTGAGTTGCTTTGTAGTAGTGGCATGCTACATATAGGATGGAGCTTCAGTCAGATTGGTACAGACATGTGAAGCAAGCAGCTTAGCACTTGTTGCTTCAGTGGAGGACATTTGATGGGAATCCAACTTGCTTAATTTAGTGCATGTGGGAAATGTAATAGTCTCTTCCTTCCAACAGAACCCGTCTGTGACCAAGGAAGGAGCAGAGCACAGACGGCAATGTAATCTAATTGATCCTCTTACAGATCCACCCTCAACTACATATTCCCTTATTGGGCCCCTGGAAGTCTATCACAAGCACGTGTTCCCCGTTCAACCTCACTGCCTTTCCTGTCTACCACCTGGGATCTGGTGCTGGGGAAAAGTATTCTTTGGTGTCTGTTTTTTGGATGTCTCCTCATCACTGGAGCGTGTGTTAGGCAGGGTGTAGACCACCTGTGCCCCCCTTGTTGTGTATCTAAACCACTTCACCACAGGAAAGTACCCTTTTAAATTTGGCAGAGGTAACTGCTAGCTCCCACAGTGGCTGAGTTCTTTTGCCACTGCTAAAGCTGAGCTCCAGCTCTTCAGAGTGTTTGGGGTTGGGAGCTGGGAGGACCCAGGTGTGCCCATGCAAGATCTTTCAAGCTTCTACTTATCCCATTGGAATGCTTCTTTGACACATGGCTTTGGGGTGTGCTGGTAAGCAGGGACAATGCTCCATTTCTACAACCAATATGTTGGCTTCTCTGGCTGGCAGGTGCGGACCCTGGAGGCCCACATGTACCCTGAGAAGTTGAAGGTGATTGCCCAGCAAGTGCAGCTCCAGCAGCAGCAGGAACAGGTGAGGTTGCTGCACCAGGAGAAGCTGGAACGGGAGCAGCAGATCCGAACTCAAGTGAGTGTGCTGAGCCCTGCTCCCTGACTCCATCATGCCACCCACTAGGGGATGGCATTTAGCTTAGCTCATCTGCAGTGAGGTTCCATGTCTTGTCAGGCTCTCAGCCTTATGTGCTGTAAGGGTCCTGTGGGAGCAGCCTGAGGGCACTGTCGAAGAATACCTCAGAGTCTCTGTGTTCCTCAGGCTGGCTGGGGCTGAGGGCGTGGTACTGACAGTGCTCTATGCTCAAGGAGAGGGCTGAGTGCCTAGGCATATAGACTTCTTACATCCCCAGTTGGGTTTTAAGACACTATGGCAGTCTTGGGGGGACCTTGACCCTGTCAGACTGATGTCTACTGCCACTAAGAGGCAGTGGTTTTCTGAGCAATGACAAGTGAGGAAGGAGACCACAGTTTGCAGTTTTGTCTAATCCTCCGTCCATCAGCTGGGGCTACTCTGTGCTGCTCTCTTAAGTAGCGTTCAGGTCACACTGGAACTCTTGTGGGCATGTAGCCCTTCAGGGTGGCATAGGTTATTATGCTGTCAACCTGGATAAGGACTTGGATCTTAACACAAATCTGGGGGTGAGCTGGACCATGGAGCATGATGCCCATCTCTGCTTGGCCTCAAAGGTGTGTTCTTAGTGCATGGCTGGCTGAAACCTTGTTGCCACACCCCATGATCAGTCTGCCTCAGTGCTGCCCTAGAGAGAAGCTCTCTAGCAGAATGAGGGGAGTTCGCTCTCAGCTTTTCTGCTAAGGATGTGATTGGTGGAAGGAGCAATGACTACTCCTTTTGGTTTCTCTAATGCAGAAATCTGTCCACTAGGAACTAGACTGTGGCCCAGCACATCATCCACCCAGGACATCTGCAGGGTGGCTTACAACATGGCTGACCTGGGTTGTGGTTGCACTAGCAACCTAAAGGCTGCCCCACTCATGCCTTCAATTGTTTGGCTCCCTCAGGAATTTCTTTGCCTCATGCTAGTGTGAACTGGCATTCAGCCATGCACAGATACAGCCCCCCTCCCCAATTAGCAGTACACTTTGTACATTATCCATGGCCGTAACCACCCAGTCAAATATCTTGTCCAAAGAAAAATGAAGTATCAGCTCTCCTGGTGAAAGGCAAATTCACTGTTGGCCAAACTCTGTCCATTAACATGCTTTGGCATTCAGAAGTTGAGGAAGTGCCAGAATTAAGGTTGCTGCTGAACTGCAACTTCCTCCGGCCTTGGGTGTTACTGTCCTGTTGAACTGCACAATTGTATGCAGTACGGTCTCTGCTGAGACCCTGCCTCATTGACCTTTGGCTGGGCAGGATGTAGAGAATGGGGCACTGGTTGTTGAAATCCCCTAGCAATGGAGGAGCTGGATGCAGGGCAGGGGTCAAAAATAAAACTTCCCCTAAAGACTCTAAAGATCATCCTCATTGGGTTTTGGTTCCTGCTTGCTGGGCGGTGACACTCCCAGATCCTTGAAGACTTAGTACTGTAAAGGCAGTGGAAATGGAGTAGGGCATGGACAGAGCCTCCTTGGCTGTTTCCTGCCACCCTGTGCCAAGCATCTGTCCTGCTTTCCATCCATTGCCACTGGCTCCTCACCAGCCACAAAGGAGCTCACAACAGCAGGCCACTTTTGTGGGTCTTCACTCTTGTAGTCCCAAGGATGCTTGTTGGACGTTTCTGTTCCTTGGTGCCTGTCCTTCGTAGCATGTGATGCTGGGGTCCTTTGCATTGTTGGAGTGCTGGTCTTGGCACAGAAGCACAGGTGCTCTGGCTAAAAACCTGGATCATCAGCCATACGGCGCTGCTTTGCTGCCTTGGCATGCAGACATCTTTGTTCTAAGGTGCTTGCATTCACCCCTGCTGTTCCTTCACTGGCTGTAGCTTCTCACCTTACTCCCAGGTAAGGGGGTACTGGTGTACTTTGGACTTACCCATTGGATCAGTTTCTCTAGATATGCATTGTTGTGGCTGTGAGCTGAATGAGGCAGGGATGCATATAGACCCCACCACCACTTCTATTGAACTCCATTCAGGTGCAGTACACTGAGTGCACTGGGGGTCTTGTTGCCATGATCATGCATGTCTCTCTCTTTCTTTAATGCTACATGTTCAGCCTTCACAGCCACACTGGAAGTCTTGCTCACTGCTAATGGGCTGTTAAGAAGCATGTGAGTTTCCCTTGAACCTAGCTTTCTCTTAGTCTTCCCTTTTACTGCTGCCTGACAGCAGGCACAGCAAACTTTTATTTCTGTTGCTTCCCTTTTTTCCTCCATGTAATGCTTAAACCTAGGTGTATAAAATTGGTAACATTTATGTATTAATAACTTGGATTCTGGAGTCAGGAGCTTCCTAAGTAAATTTTGCAGCTGGCATGTGACTGGGAAAGATTGCAAACAAACTAGAGGGTTGGAGTAGAATTCAGAAGGATCTTGATAGATTGGAAACCTGGCTTAGAAACAACAAGATGAAGTCCCATGCTAACAAATGCAAGGGGCTAGACCTGAGGAAGAATAATCAAAACACAAATACAGTACAGGAGACAACTGGGGTCTTGGTGGCTCTCAGACGCAATAGAATTCTGGAGTGTGATGCAGGTGCACAAAAAGTGAATGCAGTTTTGGGCTGTATCAACTGGAACATTAGCTATAAGATGGGAGGTAATAATGCCGCTCTGCTTAGCACTGGGTAGGCTTCACTTAGAATATCGTGTGCATTCTGGACTCCATGCTTTTAAAAAAGATATGGAGCTGTTAGAGAAAGTCCAAAGGCAGGCAACTAAAATGATAAGGGGCTTGCAAGGAAGCCATATGAGGAGAGACTGAGGAAAAATAAGCATGTACAGCTTGCAAAAGAGAGGACATAGCAGTCTTCGACTATATGAAGGGCTTCCATAGAGGAGGTGAACAACTTTTCTTCTTCACTGCAGAGAGCAGGACACTAGCAATGGCTAGAAATTGCAGCAAATTAAGTTTAGACTGTATATTTGGAAAGAGAGAAGGGTGTTCTGGTTCTCCCATACCTCTGGGCTCCTGCTGTGGCTGATGTGTGGAAGACATTTTCCTTGATACTGGATTCGCAAGGGGGATTTGGTTTAACTTCTCCAGCATTCCTGTTTGGGGCTTGCTTGAGGTTTCTGCTACAAATATAAGCCTAGAGCAGAGAAAATGCCCTGGACTGCTGGAGACAACATCCAAATAACTGGATGCATTTGGAACCTGACTTGTTCCTCACATGCCAATTATTAGGCATTTCTAGGTCTAATGGGTAGTTCAGAGGTGGGGGGAAAAAACCCACCACAGTCCTTGATGAGACTCTCAAGATGTAAATTGGAGCCATCAGCTGCTCAAGGTCTGTGGCTTGTCCTGGCAGGTGTGATCAACAGGATGTCAACTTGCTTGCCACAAGTTTGAACAGGCACTGTTTTGCCCCATGTCCCCACCCCCCAACAAACACACAAGGGATCCCAAGCGCTAGTTATGCTAGTCCATACCTTTCTTTGCTTCCTTTCATTTCCAAAGTCTAAGGATAGCTGTTCCTGGCAGGTGTAAAGAAGTTTTGCAACTGCTGTACCTACCTCCTATCCCTACATGCGAGTGGAATCTTTAATTCCTTAGGAACTTGAATGCTTCCACCCAGGAAAAGGCCTGCTGTGCCTTCTGTTCCTTGGAGCTGGAGCTCCAGGTTCTCCAGGTTGCCTTGGGTATCTCCCTCTCTGCATCACCTCACTGAAGGTATACTTGGTGATATCAGTTATCTTGGTCAGGCAAGTCTTGGAGCTGAGGTCCCCAATAACTAGCTATTTCCTGGAACGTTCCATAAAGGTGAGGAAGTAGCTGGGTCTTGCCCCAAACCTCTGATGCCGTTGGATTGCATCGTGGTTTCAGATTTCTGTCGGTTGTTATCATTTCCTTGTGTCTTCTCCAATGCCCCATTGCTGTCCTTGGAGCTGGGGGTGATGTTAGTACTGGGGGAGTGTATCATCTGGTAGCTACTACTCAGAACAAAGCTGCCTGGAAATTCAAGTGGATGACTTGCAGCCTCAAAGAAGAATCTGAGCTGTGTTGCTCTGTAGGCTGCATGAGTAGTCCTGCATGTTCCTTCCTATGACCAAACATGTCAGCGGGTGCGTCCAGATGAGCACGCACATGCCTCTTGCCCTGTCTCAAACCCCTTTGAGGCAGGTAAGAGGCACTGCAGAAATGAACAAATGTTCCCTGTGCTACACGTTTGCAGTGCGGGGAGAGAATTAGACCCCTGGACATCCAGGGGTCAAACAAAAAACCCAGGGGGAAAAAAATGGGTCCTGAGGCAACCAGAGGCTCAGTCCTCCAGAGACGCTCTGGCGGAGTACCAGAGCATCTCTGATGGGCCCTGTCCCCGCTCCTGAAGCTTGCTGCCTGCCTGTGCTGGGCAGGCAGCGGTTTAAGCTGCAGGGGCCCAGACCCAGCTTTTGCCAGGTAAGCAGGGGGTTGGGGGGCTGGAGGAGGGGCCTCAGGAGGCTGGAGACAGCAGGGGAATGAGCAGGGGGCTGGAGACAGCCCCAGAGGAATTCCCCTGCTGTCCCCTGCTCTCCCAAGGCTGGAGACAGCAGGGGAAGAAGCAGGGGGCTGGAGACAACCTCAGAAACGTTCCCCTGGTGTCTACGGCCCCCTGCTCCCCCGAGGCTGGAGACAAGCCCCTGGAGATAAGCTGGAGACTTCCCCTGCTCTCTCCAGCCTCCTTCTTGTTTTCTGCTACTGCCGGTGAGTGTGGGGGGAGCTGGGGGAATGAACAGGGGTCAGGTGGAATGAATGGTGGATGGGGGGAACAAATGGGGAGCAGGGGAACTAATGGGGAGCTGGGGGAACCAACG